CTACAGGTCGTCCTTGATAGGATGGGGTTACATCCCAATAAACCCATCATTAAGTTGAAAATGCATTTAATACACCTAACTACAGAATGTCAAACAACATAGCTTAGCCTGGCCTCCATTAAATGTGCTCAGAAGACTCACCTTAGCCTACAGTTGGGCAAAATCATCTAACACAAAGCCTGTTTTGTAATGAAGTGTTTGTTGAATATTGTACATAATTTATTGAATTACTGAAAGTGAACAACAGAATGGATATATGGAGAGAGAAATTTGTTTACCCTCATGATTATGTGGCTGACTGGGAGCTGCAGCTTAATGTCGAGTATCATGAGAGAGTATCGTACTGTGTATCGCTAACCCAGGAAAAGATCAAAATTTAAAATTACAAGTACAATTTCTACTAAATGCACATCACTTTCACAGCATTGAAAAGTAGAAAAATCTTATATTGAACCATTTTAAGGTGGGCCATCATAAGTCAGAAACCATCTGTAGTACATACACAAAAACCACACAGGAGCCCACTATCTGTAATCCATTTGGAGTTACTCGAAAGGTCCTTTAGTAATTGTGTCATTCAATACCCCTACCTTTACAACTTTTCCAGATTAATTTAGTTACAAATGAAGCATGAACTGCTATCCTGGAAATGTTTTTACATTAGTATTTAATTTTGTGAGCAATTTGTCCCTACTGAAATGAGTTATTTCATTTTTTCTGTTAGGATTTTATCCAAAACGTATTGAATATCTTATCTGGTGCTACCAGATAGCCATTCTTGTTTTGTCAAATATTACCCTCATGTATCATACAACGCAATTATTCTGGCATTATGTTAAGAACTTTTCTGGCCAGATTTTGTGTACCTATAATTGAATCCTTAGAAATATATTATATTTCTAAGTATTTTTATAGTATCTATAGTTTTTATACCTTTTTTACTGTAGGTCTCAAACTTTATGGCAATAATTATTTCATGTAACATCCATACATCAAGAATTTAATATTATTGTTTATTTTCAAAGAATATCTGAAGATGTTTTTTAAAAAATGTTTCTGTCATATTAAATAAGTGAAATATTCTGAAAGCATATCAGCTATTAGTTTTTATCTGCTCTTTTAACAATTTGATATACTACAAAGAAGACCACAGTTTAATTATTAGAAAAATTTAGATGGTGGGAAAATATTATATATTAAACCTGGTTGTTTCCTTTTTATTTTTAGTATGAGACGCATAGTAAAACAATATTAAGTTAATTAAGATTTAGTACTGGAGTGTTCAAAATTCTGTTTTAGATAGGGACACTTCTTGAATGATATAAACACAATTCCAAGAGTCTGCTCCATTGATTAATATTTATAGAGCTGCTGTATTATGAATATTACATCAGTGAATAAAAATATGGGAAGAAGTTGCAACAATTCATAAAGCTGATTAGTTAGTAGAAAATATCAGATGATTTCTATTAATAATGGGGATTTATTAGATGTAGTAATATTAGACTTAAAGAACTTGTACACAACCTAAAGATATTTTGACTAATTTAGTTTATGCCAGCATTTGTCCTTAGGCAAGGAGACTAAGTATTGACTATTGAATTAAGAGGTTGGCTTTAATGAGCAAATTAGTTATCTATTGCTCTGTAAAATTATCCCAAAACTTAGTTGTTTAAAACAATAGACATTTATTATCTCACGGTTTCTGCAGGTCAGGAACATAAACATATTTTAGCTAGGTCTTCTGCCTCATAGTCTTTCACAAGGCTGAGGTGAGGTTTCAGCTAGGGACGGGGTCTAATCTGGAGGTCTGATTGTAGAAGGGTATACTGGCAAACTCACTTATATGCTTATTGGTCAGATTTAATTCTCAAAGATTGTTGGACTGAGGGCTTCAGGTTTTTTGGTGGTTGTTGGTTGGGGACTGCCCTCAACATGTCAGGTTGTTTCATCAGAGCCAACAAGAGAGTCTGCTACTAAGATGAAAGTCATTATCTTATGTAACCTAATTATGGGAGTGAAATCCCTTCAACTTTTCTATAGAAAAGAAGCAAGTCATAGGGCTTGTTCATACTCAGGGGGAGGAGATTGCATAAGGACATGAATCTCAGGAGATGGGAATAGCTGGGGTCATCTTGCAAGCTACATACCACAATGAGTAATGGTTCTTTGATATGTGTTATGCTGTTGGGTCAATATATCTAGATCATGGTACATGATTTCCATTAGTTATACAAAAAAAGAAAGATTTATGATAATGATAATCTAGGTGCCTGTGTTTAGATATACTTCTGTACTCTGTTCCAATTTTCTTCCTATTTCTGTGGAGTCTTTTATCCATAGAGATTCTGAGATGAAAAGTACTTTTTTTAGATCATTTCTCCAATAATATATAGTATAGATATTTTCATGACTAGAGTAGCTGTAATTTGATCATATATAGGAACTGTAGTACATCATATCTGGAAGTAAATCCTACCTATTAAATCTGAGGGGTTTGTGTCACAGAGAATAATACATCCTTCCAATAATCATCTCAGAGTACCAGTTGTAGGGTGGGGCATTAGATTGTTAAAGATTTTCACTATCTTAGTGATTTTATCAAACCAAGGTATCTATCTGAGGTTAAATTAATACTGAGATTATTGGTAGACATAAAGGTACCTATGTCAGTAAGAAGAAGCTATGGGTTCCCTTGGGAGTTCAGAGGGAGGAAAGGGAATCCTTGGATGCCAATGGATCTCTTGCAGTTAAGTCATTAGTCAGATTTTAGGTAGCTGTTCTTCTGAAGTGTAGCTAACCTGGGCAACTGGTTCTTTGAATGACACTTTTCTGTGTAATATCTGTAAGGTTTTCACATCCTCAGGCTCCTGAATCATAAAGAATAAAGGGCCTTTTAGCTGTTTTACCTACAGATCATAATTATATTGATTTCTAGCTTATTTACTTTTTAAGTCTATCTGGAAATATCTAGTCACATATTGGGTATTTTCTAAGTGGTCATTTTATATTTTAAGAGTTTTTTTTTTGTTTTTGATTCCTCTAATTCAGGTCTGAGTCCATTTATAGGAAGAGAGGATATAATTGTTTTTATGTCAGCTGTTGCATGTACCCCAGAATTGTCTGAAGGTTTCCCAAGTCTATCTTTCACCTTTATTTAGTTTATAATTTTGAATCTTTATTAATAGAAAAGGTTCTAAAATTGTCTTATATAATGCATTTTCTGTTTTTATTTTTAAAAGTTCTGTACCACTGGGTTTTTTAAACCTTCTCATTTCAAATCCGCTACTCTTAAACTTTTTTTTCCATGAGTTTAACAATTAATTGAATTAGTTGTTATGTATCTGTAGTGCAAGACAATAATAAGAATCCTGAATTCTGCAGGAAATACTTTGCCTGTATCCCTGAAGTTTAGAAAAATCATTAGTTATGGCTCTTAATTTGGCCCTAGATCAGTGCTTCAGTTCAGCTTCTGTAGATCTTATTTGTGTTCTGGAAGTTTAAAATGCTGTATTTTTTTTCTAATGAAAACTCTGAGGGCAGAACAGCTCATTTACAAAATCAGGTAAGGTTGCACAGGAAAAGAAAGAAGTGCAGAGAGTAGCTTTCGGAAGTTTATAAAGGCCTTGACAAAGATGACTTTGGAATCTGAATTTTATTAGCAACCTCAGTATGCCAATTAAAGGAGCTGAATGTTGTCTATTCAGTATTTTATCTCCTAATTTGCTTATAGCCTCTCTTAAATATTTAGATTTGTTGGTTGGGTCATATCAAAAGTTCCCCATAATAGTCATTGTTATTCTCTCTCTTTGTCTACCTATCTGATCACCTTCCTAAACTTTATCAAGGAAATGAGAAGATTTAGGATTAAAATGTGACTTTTTATAGGAAGCAGTTCTTCAGGAGAGGTTGAGACTGACATAGACAAACCCCTGACACATGAGAGGGAGAGAAGCCACTGTGGTCAGTCAAGAGTGTGTGCTTGAGAATGGCAGGCACTCATTTATTAACTGTGAGTGTGTTCCTGAGGGCTAACATTGACTAGCTGGCATGCAAAAACCTTGCTTGCTGAGGGGAGCTGCCGATTAAACAGGTTTAAAACAGGTTTGGGTGGTTCCTTGTTCCCATGGCTACAGAACAATAAGTCTTTTTCTAAATTTATGGAAATATTTTTATTCTTAGAATTTAAGAAATACTGGCTCAGAACAACACAAATTCCTGTGAAGGGGTATTTCCAGGACCCAACTAAATTTTCTCCCTGTGGAATATAAAACAGATTTTGTTTTCCATCTCAAGGGAAAAGATAAGCCAGGCATTTAGGAACGCAGGGCTGTACCTCCTTTTAAAAGAGGAGTGAGGGGAGATTTCATTCTTCCTTGGTATGTCTATTAGAGGCTGATAATTCAAAGGACCTCAGATGCCACGTACAGACCCTACATAACTGAAGGGTTTAAACTTAAGATGAATAATTTAATATATGGTAAATAGGAGATACAATCTGTCCAAAGAATTCAAATGAAGTTTATGTTTAGAACACCCTGCTGGCCAGAAAAATACTTGACTATGAGCTGAACTTCCTTCTGGATAACTACATAAAAATAAAATTTTTTTATTACTTATTTATTCAATTACATTATCAGCATTTAACCTTCATTGGAAGCACAGTTTAGCTCCTTCTTTTTCTTTTTTTAACCAAGAGCATAGAACCAAGTTCCACCCACAAGGTGACATCCATTTATAATGCTGGTGCTGGCTTATTTTTATAGGCTCAGGTTTGTCACGCAGCTGGTGATGAGAGTAGGTTTGGTAACATGACTGTCCAGAGAAAGGCAATGGTGTAAATTGATTTGTGTGACATTGAGGCATGTTTTTAAAAGAATTAAGGTCACATAAATCATGGAAGGTACAAATACAGCTATGCCACTGGCAACTTGTAAGCACTGTTATGACTGATCAGCAGAAACTTTGGATTTGTTTAAAAACTCTTCTTGTCATTATAGGCTGTGAACCCATTCCTGTCCGCTATCTTGAGTGGAGCAATATAGAATCCATCATTGCCATCGCCTTCTCCTGCCTGGGAATCCTTGTCACCTTGTTCGTCACCCTCATCTTTGTGCTGTATCGGGACACACCCGTCGTCAAGTCCTCCAGTCGGGAGCTCTGCTACATTATCCTAGCTGGCATCTTCCTCGGCTACGTGTGCCCTTTCACTCTCATCGCCAAACCTACCACTACATCCTGCTACCTCCAGCGCCTCCTGGTTGGCCTCTCCTCTGCCATGTGCTACTCTGCTTTGGTGACCAAAACCAATCGCATTGCGCGCATCCTAGCTGGCAGCAAAAAGAAGATCTGCACCCGGAAGCCCAGGTTCATGAGTGCCTGGGCCCAGGTGATCATTGCCTCAATTCTGATTAGTGTGCAGCTAACTCTGGTGGTGACTCTGATCATCATGGAGCCCCCTATGCCCATTCTGTCCTACCCAAGTATCAAGGAAGTCTACCTTATCTGCAATACCAGCAACCTGGGTGTGGTGGCCCCTGTGGGCTACAATGGACTCCTCATCATGAGCTGTACCTACTATGCCTTCAAGACCCGCAACGTGCCCGCCAACTTCAACGAGGCCAAATATATTGCCTTCACCATGTACACCACCTGCATCATCTGGCTGGCTTTTGTGCCCATTTACTTTGGGAGCAACTACAAGATCATCACTACCTGCTTTGCAGTAAGCCTCAGTGTAACGGTGGCCCTGGGGTGCATGTTCACTCCCAAGATGTACATCATTATTGCCAAGCCTGAGAGGAATGTCCGCAGTGCCTTCACCACCTCTGATGTAGTCCGCATGCACGTTGGTGATGGCAAGCTGCCCTGCCGATCCAACACCTTCCTCAACATCTTCCGAAGAAAGAAACCAGGGGCGGGAAATGCCAAGTGAGTTGTCTAACCCAGGTTTGCCGTTCTCTCTCCCCTTTCTATTTTCGTCTATGTGACTAAATCATGTTCTTCCATTTCCCCAATGTTTTTCATTTCCTTTCTTAATCTTTGCTCCATTCTTTTTTCAACTCTCTTATGGCACTGTAGTAGGAATATTGTACTAAAGGTCTTTGTTCTCATTCCTTTGAAAGAGCAAGGAGCATGAAGCAGCAGTCAGCTGAGCATGTCCCTGTTCTTACCAAGGATCTGCAGCTTCTGTTGGGCCAATAATTTTCCCCCTCCCATGTGTTTTCCCTCAATGAACATCAACACTTCTCTAGAGGCTGGTCAGAGATGCAAATTCTAGTTCTAATTTCTAGTTTAGATCATGGTTGAAAATAGTTTCTGATTTACTTTTATCACACTGGAGTCACACCATTACTAATCTGGGGATGGCGAGGAAGGAAATTAAGTACCTGGGGGAAATTTGACTATTTTAAAAATGGAATGCACCTGAGTGCCAGGTAGGTCCTGAAATAAGATCCCTTAAGCAATTGTCCTACCATGTCCCTGTTATTTATTGACCTTTAATGTATACTGCAATAAAGATATTCCATAATGCTACACATGCATTGAACTGTCTCTACTGCAAGGTCGTGATCAGAATGGTTTCCTGGCCCTAAAACACCAGAAGAAATAAGGAACCAGGTAAAGGTGGTGAGCCCTAAAGTCAAGAGTCCAGAATATTTCTATTCTGGTGATTCTTCTTGAGTAGTTTGTATAATAAATACCTCCCTATCTTCTTCCTGACTCTACTGCAAAAAGCATATGTTAAAATTTATGTGTCATCTCTTTGTGATGAAAACAAATGCCATGTAACATTTACAATCTTAAAAATGACATGGATAAAGTTCTAAAGATAATGGAATTATCCCCAAACTAATCAATTTTCCTGTTAGCAGTATGAATTTTACCTTTTGAAACAATCCTTTAAAAGCGGTAAATTTTAATGGAAATACTTAAAATATATACATTGTTTTATAACTATCCCACTCACCCGAACAAGCCAGCAAGGTAAGAGAGATGCTGACTATTTCCCCCATTTTGGAGATCAGGAAATTAAATCACTGAATTTGTGTGACACATAACTGTGGTTCCACTTAGCCATTCTTTGCCTCAGTCTCATAAATGGCACGTAATTTCTCATCTTAGCTTATGTCAAAAAATCTACCTGGTGCAAACCTCTAGACTTCATACCATTACTTACCAAACAGCACTATGGGCTTCATTTCTGGAAATCAGATAATTGGCTTGAGGACCAAATGGGAGTTTATGGGGAAAATATATTTTTGAAATCTGTGAAGTCATTATTATTTCAAATAAAGACAACCCTCATTTTTTTCAGCATTCAGGGTGAAGCCAGTAACTTATACATATTTATCACTGTACCAGTTTCAAGTTCTTCATAAGATGCTGGTCATAAAAGTTGCTTTGTCATTGTTTCCCCTTGCCGTGGCCTCTCACACTAGCAAACATCCCCATGGCAGCAGCCTCCCGGCAGGAGAGCAAACCAACAGTGCCATGAAATGAGGAAAATTAAAGAAAAAATAGTCCATGACACAGAGTCTAGCTATAAAATGCCATAGGGATTTTCATTAAGAGGGAAGGAACAAGAGGAAATAAAATGAAAGTAAGGGAGAAACTCTAAACTGGAATGTTTGTAGGAACTAAGAGATTCTCATTATTGTATCCCATATGGCCTTTTGAGGCTTCCATTCCACTGCCCTCCATGATCTAGCTCGCTGTGTCTAACTTTTCTGTGTTTATTGTGGTTCTTCAGGGACTTTCATATGATTTTTGGCCATGAGTCATTTCTGAATACTGTTCTTCTAACCATTTAATGAAAGAGATCAAGAGATGTGATTGAGTGATATCATGTGTTGATACCTGGAAATGTGCATTTTTGAAAGATTTTCCAGTAACTTGGTGTACAAACAGATACGGGGACCTGTCCAGAAGACCAGTGAGTACACAGTGCTCGCTCCTGGCAGAAGATGGAGCTATCTGGCGTTACTTTAACAATGCTTGACACTTGCGTAGCAGCCAGGAGTGGCTCTGCTTTCTGATCACCTTTCCATACCTGGAGCTGCTCTCCTAAGAAACCAAGAATATTCCCTTCACTATTATGAATTAAGAAATTAATTTCATTTGGGACCTTCTTTTGAAAGAAAAATTAGCTTGGTCTAAATTGGATTCTTTATCCAGGAAGTGCTTGCTTTTGTTTAACTATTTTAATTTTTTTGCGTAACTATTGGCTCAATTTATCAAGCACTATCAGATTACTATGGTAAGAAATATGCTTCTAATGAATACTTACAACATGAAGCTTTCTTAGTACAATCTAGCTTCTCCAGGGTATGCCACACAGCTGAGCTCAGCCACAGAGGGTATTTGAGGCTCAACTTCCATTAAAAACAACCATTCATCTACTCTTTTTTCTCATTTGCTCTGCTGTTGCTTCTCTTGTAACTTTCCCTGTAATTTTAAAATACAACAATAATCCCCATGCCTATGTTTTTACCTTTTTATTGCTGTTTTATGTTTTCCTGGTTTGTCTCCAAAGTTACAAAAAACACAAACAATCTAGTACTTTCTACAGCAACAAAATCTAGCGTATTTTCTACAGCAACAAAATCTAGCAGAGTTTTGCCAACTGAAGCAAAGGGCTGAAAACTCTAGAGAACACATTACCCAGTGAGTTTATTGCCATTCTGGACGTGTAATTCCTACATTTATGGTGCACGGAGGGTATTCAGCAGCCTGCATATGCAGCTATAAACACAGAACAGATGCTGGAATGAAGAGCTTCCAACCGATCTGTCTGAATATTATTCTGAGGTGTTGCCAAGTCCAGCTACATTCTCCTAACAGGCTGTTTCTGACATACATGGGAAGGATGATGTTAGGCCTATTTCTGCAAAGTTTACTGCAATTTGTTAAGCATATTCACAGCCAAATATCTGACGTACCAAAGGGTTAGGCGCTAGCTTTACATTTTTTGAAAATATAACTTAGGAGAGGTTTAATCAATAAACTGTATGTTTGGGTTACTTGAGTTATTTATAGTTAGAAGTCCTGATAGCATGATCCTCCCCTGAAAGATCATTGAATAGTATAATTGCCTTTGAAATCTTTAATTTCTTTAGCTGTTAATTTAATGTATTTCAATGGGAAAATATTCAGGCTTACCCAAATATATAAAGACATTGGTAAAATTCACTTTCTTGGTAATAGAAGAAATACAGAAATCCATAAACATTCATTATTAAGTAAATTAATTGGAACCAAGTTGTTCATTACTTTTTTAAAACAAAATGAGTTAACACTATGCAACTGAAAAAATATTATGTAAATAACATGCTTCCTTAAAAAAATAGTTATATTAAAGGCTAAATGTCAAACTAACATTTCCAGTTATTTCTGGATAAATAACCTCAAAGAGTGCCGAACAGTTTTAATGGCACATGAAGCTGAAATATGACAATACATTCCTATGACCTTTTGCATGCATAACAGAATGCAGAACTAAAAACAATTAAAACCACATAAAAGGCATGAGATTGGTTCAAGGAAGTAATTTTAAAACACAGGTTCCTAAGTAGATAGAATATTATTATATTCCTGTGATTGTTTCTTAAGCATTTGAATACATGTTTTTATTGAGTGCAAAAGCTAAGTGAAATCTGAATGGAATGGTGCTCTGAAGAAATTTTCTTCTTTGTCACTAGGAACATTTCTTGTCCACAAGTAGAAGTAAGCAAGCCAGTAGCCTTGAGGATTTTGCCTGGGAAAGTATTTTGATTTGTTTTTCCTGCTTTGATCATGAAAGGAAAAATGAGAGTGAGTGAGCAGACATCAGAGTCAAGTAGAGATACCATGTTCTTTTTCACAGAAAGAAGTCATTCACTGCTCTAACTTGCAAATGAGAATATCTGCCATTTAAATTTTTTTCTCCCATGATCATATAATAAATGGCTATAAAAGTTACTGTAATTTTTCACTTGCTTGCATAGTCAATAAGTTTTTTATCAAAGTACTTGTCATAGAATTTTGCTACTTGATAGGAACACTGATGGAGGATCTTCTCTGGTCATTCATTTATTCAAACAATCATTGATTCAACAGTAAACTTCAAAGTACTTAGATACTTGATATGCTGCTAGATAATATTCAGGATTAAAAAAGATGTAAGAGGCAGGCACTGACTGCACCAATCCTGCAATATGGTAAGGAAGACACTCAAAAATATAACTAAATATACTGGGTTAGGTGCCATAATAAAGAACAAATGCAACATTTTGAGTATCCAGAGGAAAGAGCTAAATACAGCTAATGGAACAGTATCTGTGGAAGATAGGGAAAATATTTCTTAATAAAAGTGGCATTTGACCTTAATCTTGAGCGATATTTTTCAACAGGAGAAACTGTGCTATAATGAGATGATTTAACATACACAAAGTAATCTAAGTGAAAATTCAGAAATGTTAATGTACTTTCAGGCCACAATATGGAATCTGGTATGAATGAAGTACATGGAGAGGTATAATGGTAGGTAAATTTGTAAGTACAGAAAGAGGACAAATTGTAGATAATTACCAATATTCTAAGAATAAGCTTAAGTATTTTTTTAATATTAACCAAAGGTTCATTGAAGATTTTTGTGAAGTTTCATGATCACATGTAAGCTTTACAGCAAGAGATTGACTATAGGAAGACTAGTTAATGCAGTGCTGCAATAATCCACATGACAGGTTAAAAATGAAATCCCTAAACTAGAGTAATAGAACGAAAGTCATACAAGGCATGCATGCAAAAAAGTTCCCTGAGCTTGAGTCAGTGGAATTGGAATATTGGTTTGGGGAAAGGAAGGAAGGAAGGAACGAAAAACAGAATACAACTCTCGTAATGTGAGCCTGGGTCGCTGGAAAAATACAGCAACTGTAAAAACGTATCAGGAA